GCCACATTTGAGGACAATCGAGAATGGAGGTTTGGTACTCGAGTTCTTTTGTTCGATAAAGGAAAGTACCAGTCCCTTTCCCTATATAAGTGTGTTGGTGTTTGAGAGCAACTGCCTGTTTATTGTTTGGCTACGGCGAACAATCAGAGCATAAGCCCAGTGGGATTGGCCATTAGATTATCTCCTAATCCTTATAATTTATAACGGACGTCCCTAAATTTCTAAGACCAAATTAACTGAATATGACATTTATGAAGAGCCCGAATGCTTCCTTATTTGACTAGTTGTTAGGCGGCTCCGCTGCTTGGTCAGAAATCAGAAAAGGCACCCAAGTGAATTTGGGGGGAGGGGAGGAGGTGGACCCTGCGGACGCCACATGAGCGCATTCAGCAGAGTCACACCTCCTACCCCATTCATGGGATTATATCGAAATAGATTCCCATCAGACTTTGTCACAAAGTCAGCGCTACTGCCCTGGAGAATGGTGTGGCCCAGACTTACGAATGGAAGCTGGCCATCGAGAATGGCATCGAGAGCGGTATACGTTGGACGAGTAGATGGGTTTGGAGAGCGAGTGAGGAAACCGGTATTGGGATTCGGATCGAACTACACGTTTAGTGACGAGCTAGATTCACATTGGAGATCAGGGCAAGACTCGGAGTCGTTGGGAAGGAGAAGCACTCGTTTGGCTGTGACACGAGCTCAGGCCCTACATTCTCCAACGACAGAATCCTCATGATATTCGAAGTCTTTCTCTCTCTTTGTAGACAAGATATATAGAGTTTATGAGGCAAATTTCCGGGAGGATGAGGCAAGGGAGATGTCCAATATCTGAGGAGACTGGATCGAGCGAAAATCCTAAGCGCCTACGTAAATATCATCGACGAGAATAATAAAACTATCATCTTTCGACTCGACTCAAATCACCTACCGAAGGAGACTAGCGCGTTTGACCTTGCCTCACTTTTACTTAGCGAATTCTGACCGATAGTTTACAAACAAGATAGAATTGACAGTGATATCTCATGGCCGTAAGCTAACCACAATCTCGCCTCGTATGTCGCCTACGAAATAGAGGTGGTGGCAGGGATCAATAGAGTAGAACTTGAAATCGCCCACTCTTGCACGTACCGTCGACTTCTTACAGGACTGGCCTCTCACCACTATACCACTTTCCAAGTATTCCGCAATCTTTGTCTACATTGTCGAGGATGTGCAGGTGGAAAACTCGGAATGTCGCCTCTAATGGAAACCCGTAACGTCAATTGATCGCGATACAAAGGGGATGAGGGACGGGGATATCCCTTTCTCGAGCAAAAAGGGTTCGGAGACCAAAAATTGCATCATCGATTGTCCTCAAATGCGGCACAGAAACGAACCACCTGGTATGCCGCCCCTAATGGAGACTCATAACACCAATTACTCGCGACACAAAGGGAATGAGGGACTGGTACTTTCCTTTATCGAACAAAAGAACTCGAGTACCAAACCTCCATTCTCGATTGTCCTCAAATGTGGCACAGAATCGAACCAGTTGGGCGAGCTCAGTCGATCCTTCCGACCACCTCACTCCAAATTGCCATAACGGTCATACAATACTACATACTGCATCACCATCGTGTCATAACTCTCATGTCATGGGGATTCCTTTTCCACCGAGGAGATGCTGAACTGAATTCTTGCTAGCTCTCGAGGACGAGCGGATGACGTGAGTGTCTTCTAAACTATCTACCATTCGAATAACTCTAACTGTGAACTATATCGAATGATGCGATATTGACTGGGTTGACTCTACTATGCCCTTACCGGAGTAGTCATTCGTTTCGGGCCGATGTTCGTTCGTGCATCCAATTTTGTGTGTTTCAACTCTATAGTGTTCTTCCAGCGACTGACCATGAATTTAGCGTTCGCGTTATGCCAACTGGCTATCATCCAAACGTATGCGGCTTGAGCCTAGGACCCTCGCCGAGAGTGGAGCCGCCCAACCGTCTAGTTCAATCTTCTCCGTCATATGGGCGCCCTTTCCGGTTCGGGTGCTCACTCTCAGTTCCCCTCATGACAAGATGCATCGCATCTTCCAAGGAGGACAAGGAGGCTATCAACCAACATTCTACTCACCTCTATCAAAGACATAATCGGAATGCAAATGCAAATATGGATATTGCTCAACCCATCGACAGCAATCATCATCTCCCAACTGCCAGTCATGGTACGACACCTCTCGCGCATTGGGAACTCTGGAAAGACGCCTTGATCAGTGTCATACTAACGATCCACATCACCATCCAACAAGATCTTAGAGTTGCACAAGGATACTACCTCTTGAGCGGGTGGGTAAGTCAGCAATCATAAGATTGTTTCCATGTTTAAGGACTAATACTTCAGATTACATGTCCAAGACGTTATTCCGGGTGTTACTTCTCACTCTTGAGATTATCCCGTTCGCGCTCCTGGGTTCGGCAACCCTTCCACAATGCTTTACTGACCCTAAAGCTCTCTTGAAGAACGGCCCAATTCCACAAACCTGCAAGTTATATTTATTGTTATTTTCAGGACGCTCGCTCCGACGGTGATGCAATTTTTGGTCTCCGAACCCTTTTTGCTCGAGAAAGGGATATCCCCGTCCCTCATCCCCTTTGTATCGCGA